GCCGGCCCCGGGCGCGCGGCACTCGGGGGGGGGGAGCTTTTGATTAGATTTAAAGCTCTGGTATGTGTACAATAAGGTGATTTACTGGTAGGGATTTGGACTAGAACCCAAACACTTTTATGGCATCACTGCAGTAGGTTCTAAAATAAAGTGTGTTAAGAGAAATTCAGACATTAGGGCTCAGACTCCCCCCACTCCCTACAGGCCCCGGGCGCGCGGCACTCGGGGGGGGGGAGCTTTTGATTAGATTTAAAGCTCTGGTATGTGTACAATAAGGTGATTTACTGGTAGGGATTTGGACTAGAACCCAAACACTTTTATGGCATCACTGCAGTAGGTTCTAAAATAAAGTGTGTTAAGAGAAATTCAGACATTAGGGCTCAGACTCCCCCCACTCCCTACAATATCCCACCTGGACTTCCAATAATTCTAACTCTACAATATGTACCAATAATTCTAACTCCACAATATGTACATCAGACACTGGCCTTTCCCAAACCCTGTTTAATTCTACTCAAGTCACAGCAATGTTGGTAGCAACAGAAAGAAAATTTGCAGAAAAAAAATTTAAAAACAAAAAAAATCGTGACTAAAATGTACCATTATCAACATATTACAGATAACATACTTGGTAGACCCACTCAAATAACTATACATATTTAGTTCATATTATTTCTAGTGGCAGGACAGAAAACAGAGATTACATTTTGTTTTCTCTTTTATATTATCAGAAGCACAGGCATTAATACTAATGTCTCCACCAACAACCAGTTCATGGTTCTTATACCTTTTTCTCAGGCCATCAAGCAGTGCTCAAAATAGCAAAATCCGACTTTGTGGGCGAGAATGTATCTTTCAGTAATGAAAAGCAAGCACTGATGTTTAACTGAAAAGTGGCACGGCTGGATTATCTTCTTAGTTTGTCACAAATGGAAAAATAATGGAGTGATGCTGCAGCAGCTGCCACAGGGCTTTGAAGACGAAGGAGAGAAGGTTAAACTAGGTAAACATTGCAGTGATATACCTGTGTTGTACATGGACCCTACAGAAACAAGCATCCCTATGATGGGCAACATCTAGGACAAGGGTAGGCAATAATTTTTGAAGGAGGACTATGTCATAAATTTTGCAAGTGGCCACAGGCCAATCTGGAAGGGGTGGGGCCTCCAACAGCGTGTTGCCAGAGACACACGATCCCTTTCTGATGTTTCTATTCAAAAGGCTCTCGTGTTCCCAGTGGCTGCTAGGCAACGCATTGCCTGACAGGTGCAGGGAAGGTGCCAGCCCTTTACAGAGAAGCACTTAAAAGGGCTCGCAGCTCCCCGCGCCTCTAGCGCCTTGCTAGGGAGAGACACACGAGGCCTTTCAACTGTTTCTCTTTAAAGGGCTTGCGCCTTCCCCGTGGCTGCTAGGCAACGCATGGGAAAGACACGAGCCCTTTAAATAGAAGCAGTTAGAAGGGCTCACACCAGGGGTGGGGCCTGGAACTGCATCGCAGGCCGGAAGAAAGCCGGAGGTGGGCCGGATCCAGGCCAAAAAGGCTTTTGCCCACCCCTGATCTAGGACTTTCTAGAAAGCAGTAAATTATTTTTTCCTGTAAGAATTTAGCAGAGAGCTTTTTCACTCCTATTATTTCTTGAACATGAGAGACTAAAAAGCTTTAAAAAAATTGATTAATGCAAAAGCAATAGTCCATCATAGTCTTACCTTTTCACTCCATGCCCAAAGCCCGGCTGCAAGGAAAGCAACTCCAGCTAGCTAGAGAAAAGAATACAAAAATTGATTAGTCCATGAATCAGCAATGAAAACAACAGTTCTGACCCCCACGTTTACAAATATTCACTATTAATACATGTAGTAAAGGGAAAAGGAGTGCGCATTTCTGAGTCTCTATCTGTTTACAAGGAACAGCAGTCTTCTCATGAAAAAAAAAAAATGTTTCAGCAGAACATAAAAATCATCTGATCGGTTTCTTATTCCCTAATTAAGTTAGCATTCCCTGTAGAAACAGAAGGAAGGGCTTTTTAGGACTCTAGAGTGAGGTCAACTATTGTCTCCAAACTAGGATGTGAAAAGTTAGCCAGTTAACCTTCATGGGTGATGCTTACCAGCTCTGGTTAGCTGGAGGGCTCTGGAGCAGCTCCTTGCTTGCCATGGAGAGGCAGCCACTCCAGCCCCATGGGGCCCACTGCAGACAGAGGCACTCCAGCACCTATCAGTGGCATCTTTGACACCCCCACCCTTTAATTGGTTAACCAGTCAAACACTACATTTAACCTGTTAACCGGTTAAATGGGATTTTAAATCCCTACTCCAAGCTGATGAAACCAAAACATGGGATGACAACTGTTCAAATCTAGACAAAACTGATAGCTTGACCCTCAGACATATTTACTGTGAATTGAGTGGGTTCAGCACATCCCTGGAGATGTTCCCCCCAGGGCAAGCTTAAGCCATGTGTTGGATGGCCCAACATGTAAAATGGCAAAGAAGGCACTTGCATTGCTGAATTATGTGGCTAGCCAGAGACTCTCGCTCTCTAGTTGTGCTGGAGATCTGGTATCATTTGCCAGTACTGAATTTACTTAATTTTGATGAAAACTGTAGGTGATGGTTCCTGAACCTCAGGACTTTTTCCTATGTCCCTCAATCATGGTGGCTATTTCTACACTGCAAATCAATTTCGAATTAAGCTCACACTAGTTATTCCAAAATAGCTTATTTTGAATAGCATATCTGCATTAGGGAAGCCTGCCTCAGACTAATTTTGAGTCTTTCCTGTAGTGTAGACGTACTATCTCGATGTAGAGCCCCAGGAGGCACTGGGGAGGAACAACTTAGCCCCTCACCAGGGCCATTCTATTTCGAAATGGAAGAAGTGGAGCATCTACACACGCCTTATTTCAAAATAGCTGGACATCACCTTTGACTCAAGCCTCTTTCTATGCAGTCATCTCGAGGCTATGTCTAAACCTTGCAGATTATTTCTGCAGTACACTGCTCAGATACCACCTTTTCTGTCCATCCAGGCAGCTAAAACTCTCAACCAGGTCCCATCACCTTGCATCTCAATTACAACATCCTCCCCTCTGGCCTTGACAAATAAATCCATACCCATTCAGAATGCTTGATTTCCTCCACTAGCTCCCTCTTCTGCCACAACTTACGGTCACTCAAGGCCTTTTCCGACTATTCCCCACTTTCAGTCAGTGTCAAATCCCATGCCAGATAGTTGTGGAAGTGCAGCTTCCATCGTGCAGTTATTGCATCTTCATGCTTTCCTTCTATACTAGCCTTTCATGCTTGGGAGGAGATCCCCCATCATTTTTCACAAACCTACCTCGTTACCTTCCTTCCAATTAATCATCATTCACTGTCTTGCCTACAAAAAGCTTGATTACAATTAAGGAGAGGTTTCAGCACATCAGCAGTCTGTCATGGTGACCAATAGGGTCCTTGTTTCCCTGCATTCCCTCAGTCTGACGGGGTCCACCTGCTGTCTCATCTTAGATTGTTTGGGGCAGGGGTCTTTTTATTTTGGCTCATATGCACCTAGTGCATTCCTAGAGTCATAGACCAGAGCCCCGGGAATTACAGTGTTACAAACAACTGGTTATCTGACTTGCCCAAGGCCACAGAACCAATTGGGGGATAAGCCAGGAACAGAATCTAGGCCTCCCATGAGAAACTCTCTTGTAATAAGCAGGGCCGCTCACAAGCCCCGCACTGCACATGTGCAAGAGCCGCATTGCGCATGCGCGCGCCGCCGGTAAACAGGGCACACGGCTGAAATCTACTTGCCATGGGCGAGTAGATTCTCTAGTTTGTTGAGCCCTGGTAATAAGCATCATTACAGACCTAAGAACAGTCACGCTGGGTCAGACCAAAGGTCCATCTAGCCTATTAGCCTGTCTCCTGACAGTGGCCAGTGCCAGATGCTTCAGGGAAGATTATAAAATGCACCATTCCCGGTCATCCAGCTTCAGCTTCCAGCAATCTGAGTATGGTCAAACTGGGGCACGGGGGAGAGAGGTGTATTGGGGGGAGGAGGGGGAGGGAACTACCATTTTCTGAATGTTCCAGTCATTCAGTTAGATAAAATCTTTCTTCTCAAGGACAGTGTGCACCTCCAAAAACCGGTACACTCTGGTCCAGCAACATCCATGCTCTATCCCTCCATGAACTTTTTGGTGATCACTGGTTTCCATCAAGTGACTCCTGGGCTCTTGTTATTTACCCTTTCACACAAACTTCTGCGTTCACTTTCTCTATACCATTCATGGGATTTATAGACCTCTATCATTGCCCTCCTCCATCACCTCTTCTCTAAGCTGACTGCCCCCATTCTTTGTAATGTCTCCTCAAAACACTAAACCCTGAAAAAGCTTTTTTTGGGGGGGGGGGGG